GGTGACGGGCGGACGGCTCCGCCGGGGCGGCGGAGGCTCCGGGCGGCTCCCGCTGCGGAGCCCGCGGCTCAGCCCCGACACCCAGCGAGGGTCCGCGCGGTGGCTTACCTTCCCTGCTTCGTGATGATCATCTCCGTCTGGTGCCGGTGAAATTTCAGCCAGAGTGGCCTGTTGCACAGGTAGACCTGAGCCTTGCCAGGAACCAGCCCCGGCTGGGTGGAGGAGAACTGGTAGAAAGGTGCCCCTTGGTAGGAATGGCCATACTGCTGGGGATACGGGTAGCCCGCCGTGGGGTAGCCTTGCGGAGAAGAGTTGGACAGGAGGCTGTTATAAGCTCCGTTGGTGATCACAGGATGGTGAGCCATGTAGCGGCTGGGGCTGGCGATGGAGAAGGCTGGGTGAGCAGGTCCATGCTGGCTGGGATAAGGGAACATGGTACTAGGAGCAGAGGCAGCAGACTGGGGCTGGCTGGACTGAGAGAGCAGATAGCGATCTGCAGCAGATCCATCGAAACTGTGACGAAGCTCAGAGACCCCGTCCAAGACGGGAGAGAGTTTATTTCTCTGGACGTCCCCTGGTGTGTCCTTGGAGTCAGGAAAATTGTCTGTATCTGACTGATTCGTCATCCCCCTGGTAATTTTTTTCAAAGGTGAACTTCTCTCCAGGTTGTCAGTGGTCGAGATAATGGGATGATCATGCAAGGCAAGCTCAGATCCGCCTGCATGTGGGTAACTGCTGCTCACATTGAGAAATTTCTTGGAGAGCATGATAGAGGGAGAAAGACAATGCTCCAGCTGCATAGCTCTAGCACCACAGTAATAACCCTTCAGTCCCTGGATCTGAAAGGGCTCCTTAGTATCAGAAGCTAGACATCCTGGGACCCTCACTAGGCAGAAAGCACTTCATCCACCAAATGCTTCCCAAACGTTTGATTTACTTTTTTTTTTTTTTTTTTTTTTTTTTTTTTTTTTTTCTCCCTTCCCAGGGAGAAGAGATTGGCCAATTGACACTATGCAGCAATCAGGAAAGACTCACTTTTGATCTTGCTGCTTGTGGAGAGGATGAAACGGCTTCTGCCATTGGTTAACCGCTGACAGTAATTTAATTAGATAGACATTAATTAGGATAATCACCTGGCTCCTGGTCGCGATGATCATGGCAAATTGAAGGAGATGATTTTATTGTGAGATAGAAGGAAGGGAAAGGGGGAAGGGAAGAGTGTGTTTGCTGTGAGAGCTCATTATTATGTGACCTTTCCAGCTTTTTTTTTTTTTTGACTACGGCTGGAAAATAAATCCAAACCCTACGATTCCCCAAATACTGCGCGCGTGTCCTCTACCTTTGTGCGTCAGGATGGAGAGCGGGTCCTGGGGGCTTCAGGGACCGGTTACGAGGGGAGCGCCGGGCTGGGCAGCCGCTGCCCTCAGCTCACTCCCGCGGTTTGTCCCCAGCGGGGCGCAGCCCCTCTCCCCCACCTCTTCTGAGCGACCCCCGGCACAACGCCCCCACCCTTCCCACCCGTGCCTGCTTTGCGGGGGAAAATACACCCTCCATCCCCGCTGACAGCGGCCGCGTATCATCTCTTTTAACTTCTGAAATAATCATAAGCCCCGCAGCCGAAGTGCCCTAATGTATTTGCTGCGATGTTTACGGGTTCTTTAGTAAATAAATATTTTATCTGGGAGCCGTAATGCCGGAGATTATCAGCAAAACAGCGTGGAAGGCGTCCACCTCCCATCCTGCTCCGGATTTCTTTCCACCCGGTGCCTGCTTTCCCCTCCGTGCTCGGTCCCGCGGACAGCCCTCGATTTTTGGCAGCACCCTTGCAGGTTCGGGCGTAGCGGAGAAGCCCAAACCACAGGGTGCTGCGGAAGGAGCCGCCGGCACCCTCTGCCCAGGGGTGTCTCGGCAGAGCCGCGGTCGCGGCCGAGCCCAGGGGAGAGCGGCGGCCGCGGCCCCGGTGACACCCGGGGGGGGCGGGCGAGGCCCGCGCACCTTCGGGGGGCTGCGGAGACCTCCAATTAGCGGAGGGACCGGCCCGTGGGTCCCGCGGTGTTCCAGGTAGAGTCTCGGGCTACTGAAAGCGGGACCATCCAAGGCGTGAAGATGCGCCTGAGTTCAGGGGACCCGCTCGCCACCCCTCCTCTGCCAAGCACCAGTCTCAATTTCCCTTCCTAGAGAAGCTTGAGAGTTTTTAAAAGCACAAGTTTTGTTTTTTCTTGTTTTGTTGATTTTTTTTTTTGGGGGGGGGGGGTTGGATTTTGGGTTTTATTTTTACCCAGGGAGGAGCTCTCCTCTCCTCTTCCATTTTTCTCAGTATTGTCCCCTTAGCGGTTTGGACTTCAGGTATTTTACAGACCCCATCTCTTCCCAAGTGACATCAGCAGCCGGCTTCAAATTCAACTGACAACTAATGCGGTCTGAACCATCACATAATAAGACCAAACAATCGTACAATTGCCTGAAGCCAGGCTGAAACTTTTGCAAACTCAAATCCAGAGAAGACTAGAACCAGGATGACTTGTCAGAATGTGTATTTCAATGCTCTCATCTCGTGGTCATTTACTTTGCTTAACCGTGAGCTACTTCAGTTATTTAGTGTTTCATAAATGCCAACATACACACTCTCTCTGCAAGGAAATGATTCTAATAAGATAAATTATGAAGCAAAAAGCAAGCAGTTCACTGTTCCAGTCACAGTCGGGTGGTACAGTGCATGCAACTTTCCATACGCTACCTTCTCCTTTCAGTGCTAAGAAAATAGTTTTATTATTATCAGTTCTAACTAATGTTTCTGACACTTGTTTCACCATCGTGCTCACCCTTCCCTTTCCCTGCTTGAACCAACAGAAAGGTAATGGACTTATACAGGCAGGAGATGGATCAAAACGCAGATAAACCCTCGGAAACGCTGCCCTGAATTACAGAGCTACACCCATATAGATGCAGAGCTGCAATGAATTCAGTGGTATGCTGCCAATCACATGGAAGTGCTAATATATGCCAAAAATCTTCAGAGCACAACTCCTAAACTGGTATAATAGGGGGATATGCAATGGCAGGTGGTGTTACAGAATCGTCATAGAATGTAGAGAGGTTTGCTAATACAATATGCCCGTCCTTCGCATTGACAGGTGACAAGGGGTCAAGCTGCTAATGAAGGTCTGCTCCATTGCGGCTGGAGGCTCAGAAGGAGGCTGCTTGAAAACCTCTTTCTTCCTCCAAGATGGTATATGGGCTGCTGCTTTTCAGGTTACCGCATACACACACTCTTCCAAATCCTTTGTGTAGCTCTAAAGCACTGGACAAATATAAGGAAAGATGCCCCAAAAAACTACCTTTTTATTATTCATAAAACATCTTGGTAAATGGAAAATTGTGCCTCCAAGTCAAACTGAGGAGCGAACAGAAAGCAGGGTACCACAGCACAAGCTTATACTACAGATCTGCATCTCCAACAGACTCCCTTCAGCTACCCTCTGCAAGATGTACATTTGTCAAAATTAATTTAGAATACGCAAGACTCACTGGTTTGTCTCCCTGCTTACACCAGCCTCTCACGCATGTATACACTGCAGCACTGCGCTAGCTTCTCTTCTGCTCTGCAGTGCCATGTTACCCACGACCTGCCAAACTCTGTCTCCCTCGTGGTGTTACACGTGCGCGTGGGAGTAGAGAGCGGCAAGGATGCAGAGCCCCACTGGCAGAGGAGCCCCAGGGCAGGTCCCCCAATCAGCTCCTGCCCCATCTCACCCCGGGGTGCCCATATCCCACAACAGCAAGGCCCAAATACAGCCTTCCTGAAGGACACGCAGGTTTTCAGCGTAAATCGCCAGAAAGTACTTCAATTTAACTACACTCAGGCAAATGTGGTTTGGTATGTCTCCATTTTCCCAGCCTGATATTCCACTGCCTACTGTGGGGGCAGAGGGAAGGCCATAAGGAGGGCAGCTGCAAAAATCTGCATGTTTCCCTCTGAAGTAAGTGCATGCTAAATATACTTTGAGAGAGAGTTATTCTAAAATAGTAAATTAAAAGGCCTAAATAAGAAATTCCAAACAAAAGAAAAATCTTTGAATGGTAAAGAGTAAGTAAATAGAAAAATATTGGGCATAAACCAGAAAATAAGACAATTTTAGGGTTATTCCTTTAGTATGCAAACAAGAAGTCAAATTTTTAAAAAATCATCTTCAACAAGAGATGTATCTAGTTTTAAAATATTTGCTTGCCACTATTATTGTCATTTATTGAAAAAAAAAAAAAACAGTAAACAGAAAAATAAAACTTCTGCCCAGACACAAGAATCAAATCAGTCTAAGTACCATCCACTAGTTGAAAAAAAACCCCCACCCCAACAAAAAATTCCAACCAGCCCCCTGCCCAAAACCCAGAGCCACTCCCTAAACCCAGTTATTTGGCTTTGTCTGCTTCAAACCAAGCAGCCAACCCACCTGCCCTCCTGTGTTTCCCTCCCCAGTCAGTGGAAATGTCATATTCTAGTTGGGACTCTTTCCATATATTTATATATACGGACATCTCGTGTATGTTCTCTTTCACGGGAGTTCATGTAACCTAAAACAGCCTCTATCACTTTAATGTTTATTCTCAGAATACTGCTATTTATGACACCACTTGTGAGAGTTGTGTGATTCAGTTATCAGCAACTGAATTAATTTTTTTAAGGTCAGTTGTCTTCTGTAGATATTAGGGTTTGAATAATATTCAAAGGGAGCTGATGGGAATTTTCAGCATTTTGGGTTTTGTACATCCTCAGAATTAAGCACTACTACAATTTTTGTGGTTTATTTTCTTTTTTTTTAAATCTCCATGAGAGTATCTGGTAATCAATGGGAGCCAAATTCCATTAGAGAATTTTTGCTGTCCTAGTAATTAATATCTCATTAGTTTTACAGTGGGTAGAAACAAGTCTTTAATAATACTTTTTCTACTCTCTTATTTCCTGCTGTCCTTTTTCAAAAATGATTGCCCAGAACTTAAAACAGGTTTGTAAATGTATTTTTATTAAGTTGCAACAATCAAAATATATATGTATTACTGATTTTCCCCCCAAATATTAAATGAAAACGTAATACATTTTTGCCCACGTGGTGTTCTTGAATACTTTGTAATCTGTGAGGACCCTGACATAAAGAAATTGAAGCAAATGCACAATTAGAGACTGAAAGGTGTTATAGTGATGCGCTTACATTGCAAAAGTCAGATGTCTCTGTTTAATCAAATAGAGCCTCAACAGTCTCTGTCTTGTATTAGAAACAATAAACAAATATACACAGAAAGCATCACAAACGGTAAATTGGTTATTTAAATACAACTGTATCCAACATAGCAGCTAAACACTGGACAATGTTTGAGGTCATCAGCACGTCCACATGCTCTTCTAAATGACGTTTGGGGTCCTGAAATACAAAGGATGCCATGAGAGGAATGACTGAAACACATCTCTGAAGAATTTCATGTATTTCAGGACTACTTAAGATGTCCATGAGTTAATGAACACAGGCCAGTAATGCTCCTACATTTTCCAGTCTAGCAAGACCTACCAAATGACTGAATTTCCATGAAGAAGATTTTATTTGTCCATACTAACAGTTAAGTTGAGGATAGGTTTAGGAAGTAAATTTCTATCCAGCAACTGAAGAGTAACCATGACAGCTGTGAGTTTTAAGGACAACACACAATATGTGAAATTTACTATACATCTCACTAAGGCCAATATTTTAATCTTGGTTCTGGTACATTGCAATTTGTTTTCAGATCTTTGCACAAATGTGTGTTCTAATCCTGTAAAGCCTCAAGCATCATCTAACACAGTCTTTGAATAGTTGTGTTGACTGCAAGAAAATTAGCATATCTATACCCACAAAACATGTACAATGCTCTGTTCAAATGTTCTGAGAAACTGAATGTTAAGCCTGAGCAGTTTTCTGAAAATACACATCCCCACACACCATTACTCAATTGATGTGGGCATTTGTGGGCATCTGCATAGAACAATGAGATTATTCTGGCTGAAAATCATACTCATGCACTTCTTCAATTTCACAATTGATATTGAGTAATTAATCTCCAAATACTGCAAAAATATATTAGGCACATTTAAAAAAAATCTCTAAAATTCATTATAGTATTATTGTAGCATTCTTTTGTGTAAAGAAACTAAAATATGGAAGACAATCATGCATGGGAATTAGAAGTTTTTTTAAAAAAGAATTACTGTCAAAATGTAATGAACCCATCTAAGTTTACATAGAAGTGCGCTAGAAAATCTGTGTGAGCTTTCCTTCTTAAGTAACTCATTTTCAAAGATCACACCAATATTCTTTCTGTTCCTAATAAATCAAGCACCTAATAACATTATATCCCTATTGTGAGAGGCTCTTTGTTTACAAGGTTTTTTTATGTAAGTTCCATCAAAAACCCACTTGAAAATTACTTCACTGAACAATTTTTTAATTTAAAGAAAACTTCAAAATTTTAACAGGAAAAAATTTCTTTGCTTTTTGAAGAACTGTATCAAGACAGATTTTTTTCATGTGTGTGTAACAGCTAGTGAAGCTCAAGTTCTGTTTGAGATGACTTCATAACCCTTAAAATACAACCCTTCTTACATATTTTATATGTATATATTTATGTATGTGTAGGTGTGCATAAACTCCATTGTTCTGAATGCTACAGAAATACACAAGTGACTGAACAATAGTGCAGATGTGTTATGACATTGCTGCTAGAAGCTGACACACAAGAGCAATCCAGAATCCTTTAAATTCTTCTACTGCTACTAGCAATACAATAAATACTGGTTCTTTAAGGACACGCTAGATACTTTAAAAGCTATTTCTTGTTTCCATTGTCCTTCTTGAATTTGAACACAAGCTCTTACAAATTTGCTTTGCTCCCCTCTTGGTCACAAAAGCATATTTCTTCAATCTTTATGTTGAAATCAAATACAGAAATAGTTTTCTGTTGAGTCTTTATCTATAAAGACATTATATCCTGATATTGTAAAGGGATGGAATGAATCGAGTGGGTGTTTTCAGTTTCAGCTATGGTCCTGAAGTGTTTTCCTCAAGCACCAACACAAAGGAACACAGCTTACTTGCCTGTGTGTGGATCAGAGCACAGCACTGACAGTGTGTTCGTGAACTGAGGACTGGGGTGAGCTGGCTCTTTAGCCACGATAATGTATACATAACACTCCCACCTTTGTTTCCATGATTACTACTTTTTAAAAGCCTCCACAGTTTGGGCTTCCCTGACACAGACTTGGATGTCTTTATGCCTCTCAGAAGAAGTTAAAACAAAAGAAGAAGAAAAAAGAAAAAACAAATCTCAACACTGCTCCTCAGCAGGTAATACAAACACATGTAGAACATGGCTTGTAGATATTCTGCCGGTTACCTATAGTCAAAAGCCCAGTTCCTTACCCAACCTTCAACAAAAATAAATTTATTACTTAAAGTGTTGAGAATATCATGCACGTAGAATTAAAATCACCTACGCACATGTAAAAAAATTAGTATTTAGAATGAACGAAGCATATCATTCCACCTCGCTCTAATTCATCACACCTCACCTGCTTGCCAACATTTTTTATTGCCAGCTGTTCAGGTGTCATCTTATCTTCTTCCTCAACAGCCTGTGAAAGAAACACAGAAAAGGTCAGTGTTTCAGATTTCATTTACTTTCTCCCCAAGCCACAGATTCTCAAAATACAATTCTCTTTCTCAAAAAAAAAAAAAAAAAAAAAAAAAAATCAAACAGCAACACATTTCAGAAAGTCAAAAGGAAAAGTACTTCAGTTTTTCAGCAGACGTGGTTTTAATTACCAAGTGTTAGTGCAAAAGATCAAGGCAAATATTCATGAATGGTTTTATTGTCAGATATTCACAAAACTGTTACTGAGCAAAAATCTGAAATGAGTAGTATCAAAAGTTAAAGATAGTTGAACATAGTTAAACCAGTAAAGCAGAACCAAAAGTGAACATAATAAAGAATTTTGGTTTTAAGGACTTCTAAGAAGTTAAAAAACCCAGCACTCATCAAGAATGACTAACACGCTTACTGCTCCTAGAGTGCTCGTTGAGATCAAGTATTTCTAAGAAATATTTCTAAGTGCCAGCATTAAAACAGTAAAAGTAGCTGTGATTCCTCTTCCTTACAACACCAATAACAAATTTCTTATCTAACAAGAACATTGAATTGGGCTCTGGAATGTGTTCTAAATATTTATTATTTATCTATCTACTGGACTGATACAGATAACCTTTACTGTGCTATAGTGATCAAACAGTCCTTGACTGAAGGATTGAAAAATATGATTAACTGATTATTTTGATCTACAGGAATCTTATATTCTCTTCAGTAAGTAAAAATACAAAAATTTCAAAGCAAAATATGTACTTAAACACTTTGACAGCTTAGGGCAAAAAGTCGGGTGGCAAAGCTAATACAGACAACTTCAGACAGAAATTATATGTCGTTGATTACTAAGAACCACAGTCATTCTGAATAAAATTTGCGATGATCAACTCCTTATGAAATGAAGTAAATAATTTTTTCATTTCATAAACACAGCTGCAGTTATACTATGAATACCTTGTTGTAATTCTTAGCTAATTCTAACATCTCCTTCACTACTGTTTCATTGAGTTTGCAATGGTCACTGTAGTCCTGAAGTGTCAAACCTTCCATCCAACTCTTCTTATGCAAATTCAGCAACATCTGCAAAAGAAAACCGCTTTAGAGCATTCATCAGAAAATACTTTCACAATACGATGAAGATCTCTTTGACAGAAACCCAATTTATAATAATAAGAATATAATTTAAAAAAAAATCTTACAATGTCAATGTTTAAATAGAGGAAGTACAATCATCAACTATTCTGCTAGAGTAGATGATAGATTTTGCATACATTTTTCAAGATCAAACTTCTTGAACTCTAAATATGAAAATGAGGCATGGAGACCTGGGCCACATTTACTTTGATAGGAATATGAAGGTTTGCTTTCTGGGATTTTGTATTTTTGCTGAAGGTTGAGAATGCACAACAGCATTGTAGAAGAGCTAACAGAAAGGTGAATACTTTAGCTGCCAAATAAGGAATAGTTAAAGCTTCTGCCCTCTGACAAAACTGAAAAATATTTTAATGTTTGGATTAAATTCATAATAATTCATTCACTACTTATCTGATCTGTATGCATGCAACTGACAGAGTTATGATGAAGTGAACTTTCTAAGCAAGCAAAGCATGACTTCTTGTGTCTTTGTCCTCCTACAAAATAAACAGCCCTAATAACATGATAAAGTGTTGTAGAGTTTTGACAATGGTAAACACAGGCACTATTAGAAATATTTGAAATGCCTTACTTGACACAGATGTCGTTCTTGAAAGAGTGAAGGAATAGCTACAAAGGCAATTTCTGTATTTTCATGAATAAAGAAAGCATATTTTATGGATCTCCTGAATGCTTGAGAACTGCAGCGAGAACCCTTTCAGCAAGAAGTTTCAGTTTACCTTCCATTTGCAAACATTTACTAGACATCTTTGAGAACTGGTAAAACCTGTAACTGCTATCAGCTGAATAAAAGTACCTGTTTCATCCTATGTACAGCTTTCAAAGAAACCTGGCTTCGAAACACATGAACTGAGTTGAAAGTTTGTGTCATAATTTGTATTAGCAAGATCTTAGCTACTGACAGAAGGAGTCGTAGGCAAACTGCATATGGACAGTTTAGCTAGGCTATCTTGATTTTAAAATTATGGTTTGGTGTGATGAGCTCCTAATCTAATACATGAAGTTTGTACTCTTCTTACCACAGATGGAGACAACAGATCACCACCACCACGAGGGGGGTTTGAGATACGTACGAAGCTGCCTTATGAAAGATGTGAGAGAGAGTTGTTGCCTCACAGATTAAAGTCTTCCTAACTCGCTCAAGATTATTCTCCCACTTGCAAAAGCCAATGAAGAAAAATACACACTTGGAACTTCAGAGAAGATTGGATTTGCCATATTGTTGCATTTGAATGGAAACAATAACCCCTGGAAGCTTCACAGATATTTCCTGAGAGAGCTGGTTTTGTTGAATCCATTATTCTTTTCAGTAACAGTGAGGTCTTGAAAGTCTGATACTGCCCCAAAAACAGTTGTGCATCTCACAAATTCTCTCTAACTCCCTGATTTGCACACATATTCTTCCATTATTAATTTTTTTCTTATTATTACTTGTAACTCTCTAAAAGTCCAAATTAAGTGCAAAAACTATTCTGACCATCTTATCATAAACTTCAGCTATGAGATAAATTTATAACCCTAACGAGGCTATAAGCATACACAGGTATAATTGAGGACAGAATCTGGCTTTTCAAGAATTAACTTCTGTATATGATAAATAAACCTTTCTCTTCCTTACTTTCCCCCCATCCCCAGCCCCTGGTTTCTCTTCCTGGTTCTGGTGGCCAGGCTAGATTTTGCTTGAGGCAGTTTGATGCAAAAGTAAAAGACAATATTTGTTGCAAGTCACTTAATAATATTTCTTCTGTAAATGCAGGACATGACTACTTCCTCATATTCAGCAAAGTCTTGGGGAGCTCCATTCATATCAACTTGAAATACCTTCTGTCAAAGTGACTATAGGCAATAAAACCCCAACATCCCTTGGTTATACAATTCCATTTTGGAAAACATGGGCTCCTAGCTTCAGGAATTCCAGCTGAAAGGCAGCTAGTAGGTCTTTCAGCTTCATCACTGAAAACATGAAACTTTGCACAAACCGGTTAAGTGCAGAGAACAGCATAAGGACTCCATAATACATGGACAAAAGTGTTATCAAACTATTTATATGGTTACTAGAATGTGGTTTTGGAAAGTTTCATCATCGTGACTACATATCCAAGTGCTTTCTGCAAGAGAAGCCATCTACTCCAAGAGAGTTAAAACAACTACTGAAAAGTAACAGCAGTTGAAATCAGAATATTGCCAAAAATCTTAAACAGTTTGAATAATGTTCTTTGTCCTCTGAATAAAACCCGAAACAATTACCTTCTGTTCTAGTTCATTCTTCCTGTAGTTGATGGTGATGGAATAGTAATGTCTGTTTAGTCCATGAATTAGTGCCTGTAAAATTCAGGAGAAAAATTTAACCTCCACTGAAATGAAGAAATATTAGAAGGGAAAAAGCTCATTGAAATACAACCACCTTCAAACATGACTCAAATAAAAAACAAACAAACAAACAAATACACAGAGATAACAAGCAGGTATCAAGTAAATATACCTGGACCTATTTCTCTTTTAGTGTTCATTTACTGACAGTTATGCTTTCTATTTCTAAACCACAGATTTTCTTCACACAGTAACAACTATAATAAGAAAAAATGGTAACTGCCTGCAAACATTTGACCGATACATATGCACAAACATATTTCTCTCAAATCCTTCCTCTCTCAATAAATTTGATTATCACTTCTATTGAAATATTGGGCTCTGTTACAAACAAAAGACTATTAGCTATCTATTTATTTAAAACCACTGTCAACATTCCCAGTTCATTCTCAAAGGTACAACACAAAGAGAGAATACCTGAAGTAGTGAGTAAAGACCTCAGTTATCAGTTAGACTATGTGCATCAAATCAACCTTGGATATTACAGCCAATTTTTAACTTTAAATTAAAAAAAAGACTACTTTTTTATTATAACTATGCCCTTTGTGAATTTGTTAAACTTGTACATCACAGCCTGAGCTACTGAGATTAGGTTAAGTGATAGCTGTATGCATTTATCTTCTATTTTGTTTATGTGCATTTTTTTTTATTTTATTTATGACCTAAGGGCGATTTGGATTAATATTTGGGGGGGTTAAAAATTCTATGATAAATCCTCATCACAATTAAAATTGTCTAATTGTCAAATAAAATTTTATAAATCAAGTATACATTTACAAATGAGATATGATAAATCATACATACAATATGCTGAATTAGTGGTAAGTATTTCTTATGTTTCAGGCATTCCACCTATTTATATTTAAATATGTTTTAGAGCTATACAAAATGAATGTGCATTTGCATCTCACGCAACTTAACATTTCAGTGTTCCAATATTACCTGTATGAAAGCTGAAAATGTTCTCACATGCATTTTAAACACATTTCCTTTGCAAACACATATACAAAGATAGAAAACTACTTGAATAGTTATGTTTATGAGAACAGCAGTTAGAGATAACCACTACCACTTATTCCAATTAAAATTGTAACATACAGGTCTTACCACCAATCAACTAATTTATAGTTGAAACTATTAGCAGTAAGTAGTTTCCACTACCATCTTCTTATCTCACTCAAAATGATTGCACGTGAGATTTTGGTGTTTGTGTTTAAACTCAGGTGCATTAGAGATACTTAGGAAGTTTTCTCAAGCTCTTAAAATTTGACAAATATCTTTGCCTTCTCCCACTATCCTTTCCTTTCTTCTCCCTTTTCAAAACCCATTCTTGAAAAGAGTGGACAAATGTAAAAAATAAACAACTGTAAAAAGAGCTGTTGATAAGGGAACACAAGAAAAACACACACACACACACAAAGGAAGGAACAAAGTCAAGGCATGTACTATTCTATTATTCTTATTGCTGAGATTTTAAGGAAATTCCTGCTTCTGGCCTAGCTGAAATATTTAGTTTGCTTCTGTCCTCAACTGGGTCAGAATTCTATTCATGGTCCTAAAATAAAAGCAACACAACACTGTGAGAGCCCTTGCAGTTTTAAGAACAGAGTCATTTAAAACTATGATTTCTAGCTTAACAGTGACACTTGCAACAGCTCACTGCCACCTTGCAAAAAATGAACACAAACAAAAAATACCCACTTCAACAACAGAAACCCCAAACTCCCATGGCCAAAATATGCCATGCTGTAGTGACAGTGATCTTAAAATAATGAAGCTGAACAATACTACAGGGGTTTTCAAGGGAAAGCATTACACATGGTCTAGGAAAGCCCAGTTAGAAAAGCCCTGAAACATGCAAGCATGGGCTTGCCTACATCCAATCAAGACTACTAGTTCCTTATTTCTTATTCATGACTATTTGCAGTTTTAACCAATTAAAAAATAAAAAGTAAAAGAGCCTCCTGAAGTAGACACTTTAATTTAAAGACTTTTTTTTGCTAGCATTTTTTATAAATAAAGGGTTTCAACACATTAATAACAAAAAAACTGCTCTTTTGAAAGACAGGGGTATGGCAGTCTAGTACCTCATAAAGGATGGCCCTCTTACAGCAGAAGTTCAGCCTTTATTTCAGTTCTGCTGTGACTAGTGTATGGTCTTTTTCTTGGACTTTTATTCAGCAAATATTACTTCTATTGTTCAAGTTAACGGAACAAAAAAGCAGGGATTGGGCTTCACGGTTCCAAGTACACATGCTTTTTAGAATAAACAGTAAGGGAGGCAAGTTTTTAAAGGAAAAAACACTGAGGCAGAAGAATGACAGGGATACAAGCATTAACTACTCCAGAGAACTCTTGTTTCAGGATAGGAGCTACTTCTCAAAATAAAGGCTTGCTTTGATGAAGACCAAAACTTTTGTCTTACTAGTGAAAGTCAAGTTTAGAAATCAAACTTTGAATATCTACATTTCACAAATGTGTATTCAAAAGAAACATTACAGCAGAAGCCAATCACGCACTCATTTTATCCACGGAATATCCTCCTCCACCATTTTTCCAACAAATTACTGCATTACATAAAAATCAGAAATTAATTATTTAAGACACAATACAAGGTTTAGTCTAGATTACATAATAAGCAAGAATCTCTAAAAACATACAGTAAAAAGACAAGATGAAGAGGGAACTTCTTCCACAATTTACTTGAGAGTAACTTACCTCTAAGTTACTTATCTTAAAGCTGAGATGTTAATAAGCAGTAGTTTTTAAATTGCAGGGCTGAAAACAGTAACTATCTTGCATCACATATTATGTCATCAATTGTCGCTTTTAAAAGTTTGCATTTCCATAAATCTGTACTTGAATATTTGCTGTACACATTTAATACATTCATTCCCACTTAGGTAGCTAATAGGCTGAATTTTAAACCCCTCACATATATATCTCCACTGATGAATCCCATCAATTATAAAAGCATGGAAAAATGCTATAGAGAACAATAAATAATTTGTAACCTACAGTTTTTAGCTACCTTTCCCCAAAATTAATTAATAAATCTTGAAATTTACAGGACTATCAGCATTGGGTTTACCTGGATAGATGGCTTGTTTAAGTGACCCAGATTTGAAGTTGTTTGTCTTGGTTCATGTCCTAAGACCATCATATTAGCATTGATCAATCTGAAGGCATCAATAACAACCTGTAAAAACAAGATGTCAAGTCAATTCTTTTTATAAAATGCAACTAATAGAGCCAAGCAACAGTGGACAAGGCACAATCAACTCTCATCTGTTTTTGGCCTTTATCCAGAAAATCATTTAATTATAATATTAATAAAAAAGAGCCTCCTGCTGGCTTATGTGATCAGCACACTACACTACCTTGTATTGTAAGGTGACACCAATTATTACCTTTTCCATGGAACTGCAAGTTTTATATACATTATATCATCATATAACATTGAATTTTGTGTACACTTACTCTAAGCTTCAAAGCTATGCATATGTTTGTCACCTAAATCTTATCCAATCAAAATGAATGACAGAGAGAGACTAAAACTGAAAGTGAGCACAAGCTAAGGGACCAAGTCTAAAGCCCAGTCCTGTCACATCAATTATACTACCACAATACTTGAAATGACAACAAAATTATAGCCAGCAAGGAACTTGCCCCATGTATTCCCTTCTAGTCAGATGCTTTTTGCTTCTTGTGACTATGAAAGGGTCTATAAACTGTCTGATGGATTAAAAAGTCCTTGTCAGTGTCATGCTCACGAGTGAAAAACAGAGCAAAAGAAAATCAAGGTCATTTATGATTTAAAGGTACACAGTAGGTAGCATTCAGTGCTATTTCATTACAAATAAAGTAAGCCCATCACTGATTCTTACTCTGTCCTGTGCTGAATTTGTCCGCAAAAATTTTTCGAAACAGAATTTCCCGGTCCCATACAATAATCACCACACCCCCATCCAACACCTACATGAGGTGAAACAGACCTAAGGACGTACAAACAATACACACAAACCCACTCTTACTGGATCCTCACCATTACAGGTTTATAACTGCAAGACAAGAATTCTTGTTTAGGTTTCAGACTTTTACTGTACCAGTGCACGTACAGCCTTGTACCTCCACAAAACAGTACCAGACAGACTTTGCAGGCATCTTGTCTGCATATGTGTGAAGAGTTACTCTAGTTCAATGAACTAAATAATTTAAATCTCCTTTTAACAGCTTTTCTATAATTTTATTCTCTTCATCTTTATACTGTGAGTTGGGCAACAACAGATTCATTTATATGGCTGGTTTGGTATTTCGAGGAATTAGATTTGAACCAAATCTTTTATGTTGTGCAAACAAGAAATCAACCACTGTCACTAAAAGTCTTCAGAGAAAGTGACATCGAGTCTCCTACCTTGTTCCAGCATTTTCCTCTCCATTTACACAAATAATAATAACTACATATGCAGGTTTTAAGATTACAAGATAAATATTGAGGTCATTAATGTGGAAATAAAGTGAATCAGCAACTATTTATAATAAAATAAATTATCAAGTGTAAACTGAAAAAGCCCACCAACTTATCACCTGTTGTATTTACTTCTGAGACCCAGTTGAGACAGTGGTGTTGAGTGACTGGGTGCCACTATGGGCTGTTGCCTGGACTCTCAGCTGCTGGCCAGATCCATCTGCATGTGTCATGTCTTAAAACTGCGTGCAGAAAACCTTCCAAAAATGATCTTATTAAAAATGTTGTGACCCAATTAAAGTGAGTTGACAGTGATATTTTTTTTTCTGGACAAAAAACCTCACAATTCAGATTTAATATGCAGCAGAAGCATGCTATCTGACACCAATGCTAAATAAAAAGGAATTACATTTAAAAGAATTTAATTCTCAAAGATATCTGAAACAGTTTCTATATATCTATACACTCTTTCTCGTAACGTACAAAATAACTCTGTTTTTTTTTTCCTTTTTTAGCACTATCAGATTTTTCTCTATCTCAAAACATTTGTGGATAAGCTTTTGTATATATCTCTGTATTCCATTTTAACCAGACGCTCTAATTTATGAATACCTGGAAATGCCCGACCATAACAAACAGGCAGTATAAATTAAAAAGTCAAGCAAAGCGAAAAAGAAATCCACACAGGTTCTCCCAAGACTAGTTACATAAGGGGAAAAAACCCCCAAGAAAGCAAAAATTTACCCTGAGGAGCAAGAACATGAACTTGGTAGTATACTAGAATGACAAGGAGCTGCTTTATAACTAATGGTCACACTTTTAGATCTCAGTTTAATGAAGAGCTTCACTAGACAATGTTGAGCTTATCCAAAAAGAATGGCATCATCCAGCACGGATTTCTTTTGGGACTTGAGTCATGTAAAACAGAAGGAGAATCCAAAATAAAAAAAAAATTATTTAATTTTGTTTCAATAAGAAAATTCAACATTTCAGTTAGTGTTCTCAAGATTAGTCAAATTTCACATTAAAATATGAGAATGAGTTGCTAAAATATTTCCAAGAGATACTGAATTTTACTCTAGCATCTTAATCCTGACCTGAAGGAACTTCCGATATGTTTCAGGTACTATCTGTTTGGGAAAATACTGTACTTTCTATCTGTCCTCCTGAAGGAATGACATGAAAGTATTTCCAAAGTAGAACAAACAGAAATCTAACAGAATGTGGTATGAAAAATTAAACCCACAAATTGCAAATGTTATGATTTTAAAAGGGATAAAACTGCAATTCCTACAATCTCAGAGGGGTACAAAAAGTATGGGAGCAAATGATATTTTTCATCTCAGTTGCACTGTAATGACCAATGGGAACTAAATACTTTAACTACACTAAGATTAAAGGAATTTGCTGCTATCACTATAGCAACCATCTTAAAGAAACTAACATGCTCAGCAACCTGAAGGCTAAATATAGACCTAATACGCAATAAAAACATAAATACAACAATAAATCTTACATATTCATTTCTATGAAATGCAATTGCTTTTTTCACAGTGAGCATAAATCAGTCCCACCTTTAGCGGATTACATAAAAAAAAATAGACTCATTAATGTCCAGCGTACTAATGAGCAATGGGTGAAGTAGGTGTTAATTATGCCACTGTAAGATCCAAGAAAAAAGCCCCAGTGAGCACTTGGAGGTGTGTACAAGCTGAAGTCTCATCTCTACGTTTGTGTATTTCAAAGTACAGCATGATGCAATCAGATGACAGAAACACGGTCACCCCATATTCTACAATGGAAACTTTGACACAGTATTTTGAACAAAGAAATTCTAAGGATTAATTAAAAGCAGTATAACCCCCGACTCAGTTTCTTAGATATTTGCTAGTAAGAAGTCATTATTTCCCAACCAAAAATTTTAAGCTTTCATTGCACTTGAATTACCTAATGCAGCATGTATCTTTTAGTAAAAACTCCAGTTTCCAAGCTTCAAGCTAAATTCCCTCTCTGAAAAGACATTAAAAAGTTGAACAAAAGTCTATGCCACGGGGATGTTTTCCAGAAATATGAAGGTAGATTCTTTTTTTTTTAATGCACTTCCATTGTGCAACTCTTTCACCACTCTGACCATTTAATTTTTCCTTGTGTAAGTGTCTTCAGACTTTTCAGAGGTCATTTCAACAGCAGACAGCTTATAACAAAACCATTAGCAGTTTGGCTAGCTTAAGGAAACCTCTTACTTTCCTTTTTTGTTTATTATCACTGCATGAATCTGCAGCATATGAGAGTTTATAATTTCTCAGGCTTGTTAAATTCATGTTAAAGGTCTGTTTTCTTGTTGAATAAATTTTGTTCATATAATGCTGCCTATTTCATATACTGAGTCTTTAATAGCACCTTTGGTCTATGCGCAACTCACAGATCAAAACAGAGGACTAAAATAGGGGTTGATGATGCTATTTACATGTGTGATTCCTGCTGTCTTCTTGTTAGTAGCTTTAATATAATAGAAGACCTTGTCTGTTTTGTAATTAACACATCTTTACTGGAGAGATATTTGGAAGTGATTGCTGTGAATATACTGGTTAGTAAAATAAACACAATCACACACCACTTTCTGTTATCAGACAAATTTGTGAATTGTACACATTATACTCCAGATCAACAAACTGTGATATAACAGCCAAGTAGAAGACACATTTATATAACCCTTTATTTTTCTGAAAATATGTATTCAATCTGACCTTGCAAATATAATTAGCTTGTGGGATGTGTGGATTTCAGTACCATGGATGCTTTACTAATTGCAGCTCTTGGAAATAGATACTAAATATTTGGAAGCTGCCAATACAAAATAAAAACTGCATCTTTTTGTACATCTGTCTTAGCTTCAAAATGCATAATAATCTAAAAAACAATAACTATACAGTATTTTTTTAGCATTCGCCTGGGATCAACAGTCCCTATAATGTATTTTTAGAAACAAAATTTACAATTATCTTGAGTGTAAATTTCAGCACAGCTATAATTAATATGATTCAAAGTTACTCACAGTCTAAGACAAGCACTGGACTCCTCAACTGCTAACTAGATAAAAATCTGGCCTCTTATAGTCTGCACAGTTATTAAAAATAATGGCTTGATTAAAACTTAAGATGTTTAGTGCCAGACTTCGTTTAGCTTCTAGTGAAAGTGTGAATGTGATATATATATATATTACCACTTTTTCTAAAACAGTCTTCATAATTTCATGGGGTATTTAAAAGAAAAATAAGATTCAAGAGTATTTTACACACTTGATTCTTAAATCCCTCCAATATCAAATCTCTGAACAATACTGAATGAAATAGTCCTGTTTTTCAAGACCCACTATATTTTAATGGTAAACTTCAGTTAGGAATAAGTCAGCCTTTATTGTTTAAATTTAAAAAAATTCTAACATCAATATTTTTCCAGTGAGGAATCTATGGCATATGGTGACTATCTTTAAAAATGCATTGTGTCCTTGAATTCAGATAGTGATGTATTGTTTATGCCATATGTTTATGAACAAACATACCAGCGCTTAAAGACAACTGCAAAGGATATAATGTGGTTATGCCAGGTGTGGAAGAAGAAGTAATGTCCCATCTAAAATCTCTTTTATCACCTGCAACTGACCTGTTATCAACTGCTTAGTTTGTTTCTAGATTCTTTAAAAATGAAATGGAACACGTGACCTGAGAAGT